GCAGACTCTGGAGGCCCAGCAGACTCAGGAGGCCCAGCAGACTCAGGAGGCCCAGCAGACTCAGAAGGGGTGGGAGGTGGGCATTCAAATGCTCGGCCAGAAGACGCCGAGCGTACTCACTGACCCTCCGGTGGCCAGGCAGGAGCAGCAGATCGGGACGCCTCGCCAAGACATCCTCGATCTGCTGGCAGAGGAGTCGTTTCGCCGCATAGGTGGAGGACCACCTGAGGTTCATGAGTGATCCAGTGATTTGAGGGCTTGTTACCTCGTCCTCCCATGGCAGCAGAGACGGGACCGGTTCTTCACAGGCAGGTGAGGCCAAACCGGTTATGTGTGGTTCAGGCGTAGGTGAGGAAAAAAAATTATCTGCCTTGTGGAGGGGCAGACCAGAAAAACCTTTGCCTGCAGGCTGGGTGCGTGGTTGGTTCATTATGACACAATTTGGCAGGAAAAAACCCAGGGTGCAGGCAGGCTCCATGAATATAACAAAAAGATTTATTAACTAACAAAAATGTACAGAAGGCAGCTCAAAACTTACAGGTAGACGATGATCACAAGCAGGGGGAACAGAACACAATGAACCAACATCAGACTGAGACAAGACAGGACTTAAATACACTGACAAACTAATTGATGAACTGAAAACACCTGATGAGAAACACGAGGGTGACAATCAGACTAATAAGGAGCAGCTGGGCAAATACACACTGGGGAACATAGAAACACAAGGAAAACCAAAGTGAAAACTGACAACCATGACAGTACCCCTCCACTTAACGATCGTCTCCTGACGATCAACCAGGAGAGGCACGGAACAAGGGAAGACAGGACAAAACAAACTCGAAGACAAAACACAGAAGTCCATGGGAAACAACAATCATCCCCCACAGGGCAAGAGTCCAGGGGGACGACCAGGAAACCACACATGGCGAGACCTCTCAGGAGTAGACGCAGAGCCGCAGGAGGAGGCAGAAGCAGATGCAGAGCCCCAGGAGGAGGCGGAGGCAGACGCAGCGCCCCAGGAGGAGGCGGGAGCAAACGTGGAGCCACGGGAGGAGGCGGGAGCAGACGTGGAGCCAAGGGAGGAGGCGGGAGCAGACGTGGAACCAAGGGAGAAGGCAGGAGCAGACGTGGAGCCAAGGGAGGAGGCGGGAGCAGACGTGGAGCCGTCGGAGGTTGATGGAGCCGGAGCCTCTGTGACGGCAAACACAGGTGACAAAGGGGACGAAGAGGCGACGGCAGCTGACCCAGGCGACATGGAGGCGACGGGCGATGACCCAGGCGATGAGGCGATGTGCGACGTGGAGGCAACAGCAACCAACCCAGATGACTTGGAGGGACTGGCAGCCGACCCACGAGCCTCGAGGATCGCCGACTCAGGACCCACCAGCGGAACCGCCGACACCAGGACCACCGACTGTGGAACCGCCACTGGAGCCACCTACTCCTGGACCACCGATTGTGGAACCACCATCGGAACCACCGACACCAGGACCACCGACTGTGGAACCGCCATCGGAACCACCGACTCCAGGACCACCGATTG